AATTTAAAATATATTTAAATATTATAATTAAATTATATAATAACTTTAAAATATTTATTAAAAACACCAAAATAATTATAGTAGATTTAATAATATTCACAATATTAATAATTTTCATTTTTACAAAATTCATCACGAAATTATGTACTAACAATATAAATTATAATTTTACAAAAATGTTATTCAAATGATAAAAATTTAATATTAAAAAACACAATATTATTTAAATAATTTAATAACTAAATATATTAAATAAAAACATTTTAAAAATAGCTAAATAATTATACAAAAAATATTTAGCATTATATACCAACTTTAAAATAAATAAAATTCAAATAACAAAAAATTAATTATTTATATAACTAAATATTTTAAATAACAAAGTATTCAACATAACAAATTTTTAAATAGCTAAAATAAGGAAATTATGTAACGAGTTTAAAGAATTTCTTAAAAGTAGAAAAGTCATTGTAATAAATTTCATAAATAATTAATTAATATTTTAATAATATTTTACAAAATTAATAACAAAGTTATGTAATAATAGTATAAAATATAATTTTATGGTTATTAAATTCAATAATTAAAATATTGATTAATAATTTCAAAATGATATAATAATTTTTAAATACATATTATGTGCAAATTTATAAATTTTAAGTACTAAAATAATTATTCTATTATTAATATTTTTATTTCTATAATTTTTCTAAATTTAAAAATATTTTTTGATACGGATGTATATTAGTAGACTATGTCATGTTCAAATTTATAAATTTTAAGTACTAAAATATTTATTCTATTATTAATATTATATTGTATAAATTTCTTGAAGTTGAAATCATCTTTTGAAACAAATGTGGATTTGATATATTATTTATTCAATCATTTTATAAAATGCTAATTTTGAATATTATTTTTTTAATTCTTAGTTGGAGTTGTTAAACATAAATATTTAACATTTATTTGGATTGCCTTTCGACAATAACAATAAAATTTATTTTATTTTACATATTAACATAAGTGGTTGGATAGCTTCGTGGCTTAAGAGTGAGTGTGTTAGGCATATTATGGTTATCAGCTTGGGTTTAAATCACCTTAGTGTTGTATTTAGTAATAACTCGAGTTCAAATCACCTTAAGTTATCTAAGAGGTCTCAAATGGAGGAAACACCATTTTTTGGTATTTCCTCCAATGCCGAGGTATTTTCTTACTATTTGGCACTTGTGGTGCTGATGGCACCTAGTTGTCATTTTTCTAATTTCCAAGAAATAAATGTTTTATTCTGATTTTCAAGGGAAATTTTGTATAGAATGTTTTTTTAATAAATAGCAATAAATGTTTTAGGTAGAAGTGCAAATCATAGTTATTGGTGTAGGTACATAGTGGTCACTAAGACCATCAGAATATAAAAGGTGCCAAACCAATACTATAGGAATGCATGTGATGAATCCATAACCCATTGCACGTTTGTGATGAAATCTGCGATGAACTCATACTCGAAATGGGTCGCGATGAACATCAACTAGCACGAATCCGCGATAAGCCTTAGACATATATAAACAAGAGATAAAGCTTAGACACGCGCGAATCTGCAATGATCTATAAAGACGCGCGCGGATCCGTGATGAACTTCGGACGCGTACAGAGTTGCGATGAATCTGAGACCATTACAAAATTGTGGAATCACAATAAATTGGGAATAAATGTCGATCACACATGCATCTTTAAATTACGCGTGTGGGTTTAATAAAAGTGTGCTCGCTGAACGGCGATATCACTTACGCCATGTTAGCATAAAAGGGTCACATACATAGAATCTTAAGGGAAAGGAAACCTTGTCTTTAAAGAATTTCACTAGACATGTGGCGAAACTCCAATAATTCTCCCTTAATAGTCAAAAATAAAGAAAATATCTCATTTCCTAATAGAAATACCTCCTTTCCTAATAGGAAATGTCTCCTTTTTGAATCCTTCTCCTTGTAGCCTCAAGGTTTTCTCTCTATAAAAGGGAGAACAACTCCCCTAAGGAGGAACAACAACTTTTGACCTAGGATTTCTCACAAGGGGATTTTCCCTTCTCTTTCTCCTCTCTTCTCCACATCCTCTCTCATCCCCATCGTCTCTCTAGACCTTCAGAGACTTGACCAACTACCGAAAGTCCATGATACTTACAATCGGCAAACAGATGTGTGAGCACCAAGAAGTGGCTCATTTTAGCTAATATAGAATCCCTAGCCATCAAGTAAATAAATTGGGAGTGATGGGCCTATTAATGTCTGTGTTTGGAATACATTTTAATTTGATAATGACTTCATACGCATAGTACTAATCTAATCAAATCGGGCATGTCTCGGAACAAGTGATGGAAGGTTTTAGACACCCCTCTCTCGTTTCCGATAGGTAAGACATGAAAAATGAGAAAAAAAACAAGGCAAGTAAAAATAAATCAATTGATTAGAACTGTCAAGCCAAGCAAGGGTGTAAATTGTTCACAATACAAGAGGGGAAAACCACTTAGTAACATAGACAAATTATTGAGGATGCAAAGTAAGCAGTTAGGTGATGTTCGGTAAATCTGAAGTTTGAAGTTTGAAAAGCCAAAAAAAAAAAAAAACTTGCTTTTGCAAACATCTGAATATAATGGGGTTGTTCGGTAATCTAAATGTTGTGACATCTAAGACGTTTACATTTTACAAATGTACCCCTCAAAGTCATTATGTGAATAAAAGTAAATGATAATGATTAAAGTAATAGGATATTATAAAATATTACAAAATATAAAATATGATAGAAATCAATAAAATAATAATAATAATAATAATAATAATAATAATAATGATAATAAAATAGTAAAAATAATATAAAATAAAATTTCAAAAAAAAACGGATATTTAGTGAAAATATTGAAATTATAAAAAAAATGTAAAAAAAGACAAATTCTTCGAGTCGTCCCCATTAAGAGTGGTCATGTGTACCACCAACTCCTATTCTTTTACAACTTGGGCCCACCAACTGATTAAGGGGTTGACTCGAGTGCCCACGCATGAGACTTGTCTCAAGATACCCGGCCTCTGAATTCCCCGGACTTCTCTATTCCATGCGTCCATAGCCACCTCTCTCTCCCATCTGAGACCAGTCCTCTCTCAACCTTGCCTTCACTGATCCTTGGTCATCTTTGTCCTTCAAGGAGAACACCCTTGCCACCTTAAAACCCCTCTTACACAAGGATTAGCCATACCCTCAAATGGGGGAATGCATGAATCAGACTTTGATTCTGAACCCCTATTCTCGCAAACCAAATGGAGCCTTAGGTTCCGTTTGTTTGCGATACAAACGCCGAACCAAATTATTTATGTACCCCAGTTTGGATTTGTGAGTATTTGTTTGACATGGAAAAAATGTAATGATTAAGAGGTCAAAAATGTATTTCCTGACAGTTTTGTGTCGTGAAGAAAGCACACTAATGTACTCTTTTCTGGATACATTTTTGCATTCTTCTGATAATTGGTGTGCTTGAACAAAAGTTTAAGGCATTTAATGATGTGGTCCATGCTTTGCACTGATTTCAAAAAAAAAAACAAAAGAATGCAGAAAACAGGTTACACTAGAAACCCACTTTGCATTCTTCAACCGGGAAGAGAGTATTTATGCAAAGTACATATTTGTTTTTGTATCGCAACCAAACACAACCTTGAACTCCAATTTTAATCGGAAAGGATAGGTTAAAATTTGAATACAAATGCAAATTGTATGCATTTGTAAATAGTAAATACTGAAAACTTGCAATAATCAAAGACATCACGATTCAAAAGGTAGCCAAAACGCTAAATGGTAAATACTGAAAATAGGAGCCTTCAATTTGGATTAGAGTTTTTACAAGTTTCAGGAATTAAGGCAAGGAATCCTTAGGTAAAGGTTTTCAAAAGTGGATCCTTTTTTTTTTTACTTTGACAAAAGAAAGCAGCCAAACTTTTCATTAAGGTAGAGACAGTTGTACATTTGGAGATAATACTCAGTTATATGTTATCTTAATCTGACCTTTGCATACTAGATAGGCTAACGTACGAGTAGCCTTGTAAACTCTATTTATATATGTACAAAAACAAGTTGTTCAAAAGTAGATAGAAGCTTTGTCAATTGTGCGCTATGCAATTGTTCAATCCACTTTCATTGGCTGCCTTTTATCTTGCAAAAACTCGATCAGCTCGCTATATATCTCAAGCTTCGATATCTTTGGTTGGCTGCTTTTAAGCCTTGGATTAAGGCTTGGGTTTCTGCATCACAACTGTCGATGGCCCAATAGAAGCAAAGAAGTGAATGATTCGGCGTCCAGTGCATAATCTAATGGATCAGGTTCGGGTAGTGGTTTAACACTCGATCACTCGACTATTCAAATAACCCATTATGCCATTGGAACAACAATGGGAGAAGGATTTTAAAGAAGGGGGACTAGCATGCATATTGCACAAAAAATGACGCCCAATCCACAAAAGACTGGAAATCTGGATTGCACTGCTTAGGAAGCCAGCCAAATGATATCGATACAGAAAAGCGGTGATTCAATTTTCTTGGAACCTTGATTTCAATTCTTAAATAACGGAACAGCATATAGTCAGTCATACCTAAAATTTCAAAACATCATTCCTGGCATCTGGCAGTGGGCCCAAGAAAAACACCCTTTGACGTGTTCTATGCCTATGGGTTACAAATTTAACAGCTCTTTTAACACAGGCGTGGAGCTTGGAGCTTGAACCGTAGTGAAACTTTGCTTGGAAGACGACCTCCTAAAGCAGAGCATTCCGAAGAGTTTTTTAAAGCCATCATCATATTGCATAATGGGTAAAAGTAAAACAAACAGGTATTTCACCAACTACTAGACACTAATTCAATGGTTCGAAATCTAAATTGGAAATCTAGGGAGAGATGCATGTTAAACAGGGCAGAATGAACGAAAACGTACAACAAATTTCAGACCTACTTCAAAAGGCGACTAAAATAGCAAACCAACTTAAACAATACTTCCAAGACAGCAAATTTGAGAGACCATAAAGAAATAGATTTAATAATAGACCATTCCAGAAACTGTAGTCATAACAAAATTGCCAATAACTCTTCATGTCTTCTAAAGGTGAAAAAGGACTTCCCTATTTCAAGGGGGACTAAATTTAGATGTTTCTACCACAAATAAGAAAGAACCTCAGAGAAACCAAATCCTGCAAAATCTCTAGTTCATCCTCCTGATCAACTCATTGATGTAATCTTCACGGTTTCCAGCATCTCCTCCCTCAACATAATGGTTCCTCTTCTTTTTCAACCCACCCAATGGAGCCTTGAGCTTAAATGGCCATAAGAAGTTGTTTGCCTCCTTAAAGTGGGGACCAACAGTCATGATCTCATGAACAAGATCTTCTATGCATATGATTCCATACTTACCAAGAGCCTACAATAAAACAAAAGTGATAGGAAAATTATATTATATCAATAATATGCTACAGCATAAGCATTATAAAAAACCAATCAAACCTGTTCAATAATTGAATTGTCAGTCAATGCAATTCTTTGTTTGTTTAGCTTCCCATAACCCCTCTTGTAGATCAATTCACGAACACTCTTCAAGTTGGGATATCTAAAAGAACATTGTACAGAATAGAAATCACTAAACAATTAAGAAATGTATTGTATGTAATTCATTGTTCCTAACAAGTTTAGCAGTGAAATGCTTACCCGTATGTCACATAAGGCTCCACCCTGTGCAACATGTTCACTGTTGCTTTGTTTACCTTCAGAAAGACACCATTAAATATCTGCAGCACATAGACAATTGTTATAATTTGTTTGTCAAACAAATTTTGCCAGCTGTAGTTAAACGTTATTTTCTTTAAAAACCAAAAGTCCAATGGGACAAAATCTGGAATCCATCAAAACAAAAGTATCGCACCCAACCCTGATCCTGGAAGGTCTCCAAATACTAAACCCTGAACCAACTGCCTATCAGGACTACCGGGTCAAAACCAATTAAGACTTAATTTTACTTGACAACCTTTTTCACTTGGCATTGAAAAAGCCCACATTTCTCTTGCTGACATCGCAAAACACCTTTCAAATCCAAAAAACAAAAATACAGATTTAGATTCTTAATCAGGTTGGAACAGGTACAAACAATCACAACCCTATTATAATTATAACAAGGGCTCTTACTAAAAATGTAGACCCAGGCAGTAATTTAACAGGGTTGGCTCAATTTAGGTTGGGGCAGATGCATGCCATTAACAGCAACATTAAAAGATGAAGAATGCCACTGTCAGCAAGCACCATGTATGAGCTTTGCATCGAACAGAGCACAAGCATGGATACAGCCATATTCAATCCCAACTTTAATGTATTTTGGGGTTTTACAAGTGGAGTATCAACACAGATAGTGGATAATTTAAATGCCAATAAATAGAGACAAAAACTGCACATATTTATATTGGATTGATTCTCTGCAGAAGTTGGAAATGAATTCAGTTGCACAAAATCAGTATTAGAATGCTATACAAAAATATTTATATCTACTTCTCACATGGTTCTGACATTGTATGCTACAACGATTAATACATTAAAAACAATTTAAAATTAGAGGCAAGACTCTAGATTAAAAGCCCGTTACCTGTCTTAAACGTAAAAGCTGCAAAATCTTTCTGGTCTTCGGGTGCATTGCATTGATACTGAAAAAGAATTTCGAATTTTAGAGTTGTTAGAACAAAGATAAAATCAGGGATATAGAAATTAAGTGTTAACAAACAGTGGGCAATGAGCGTACCCACGGATTCGGATGATGAACAACAGTTTAGCCTCTGGATTGACATAAAATCCTCCTTTCAACTTGGCTTCACGCTTCAACCGAATCAACTCTTTTTGCTGAAGGGAAAAAATCCGTCTCAATATCACAGGCTATTGAAGCGTTAAGATAATCAAAACATGAAAAGCGCTATTTTTCTTCTAGTACCTGCTCGTCGTACTCTTTCGCGTACTGCATCGCTCTTTTGAAGATAAGCTTCCGGTTCTCTACATTCTTCTTCTTCAAGGCATCGACCTCTTGCTTCTTCGCAAGCGCCCATTCCTCGCTCCTCTTTCTCTTCTTCAATACTGACTCGGGAACCACGGCACAACCCTTTGCTTCTTCTTCACCCATCTCTCTGCAAACAATATAATCCCCGTAAAGATCGTTTCTTACCCAATAGAAATAAAACTCTAGATTTACTAGATGATGCGTATGAAGCTTAAGAAATCGATCATAGAAAATAAAAAAAAAAAACTAAAATGTCCCCCAAATATTAATCAAAAGCACTACAAAATGGGACGTATACACACATTTCTCTGCAAACCACAAAGTAAAACAGAACAAACCCTCTTCACGTAATATGCTTTTCATTTAACATAAAATCAGTTCAGGAAAAACACTAACAGAAAGCTCACATTACATTGGACAATCTAATGAAGGTTTAATCCTGAATTAGAACTCGAAATTTAAATATTACAGAAAGCCATTAACAGAAATAAGCAAATGTTCCAAAACCCTAGTTCTTCAATGAGATCTAGGGTTATTGAACTCGATTACAGATACTCTTTTACCTATCAAAACGCATATAAAGGTAAATGAAATTAAGATTCGACTGATGCCAAGATGGAGACAAACGGAAATTTTGATGTTACCTACTCTTCACTTCGATCGGGAGAGGGCTTTCAAGTCTGCAACAGGTCGGAGAGTAGCACAGCAGCCTCAGCTCAGAAAAGAGGCCAAAATGAGGTTTTTATAGGGTTTGTCACGAATAACCTAAGTCATCGAACGGTTTAGATTTCCAATGCTTTAGTAGTGAATCTTGACCGTTTGATGGAGAGGCTGGCAAAATGTCCAAAATAGGCAGAGAGCCTAGGCTAGCGAGTAGAAACCAATGTGTTTCAGAAAAAGTAAAAAACAACCCGCAAACAAAACCGCTTGTTCCCCGGGTTGCGGTTGCGGTTGCGGTTGCGGATCAGAAGTTCAACCGCCGGGTCAATCGAGTTTAATCTGTTTTTCTAGATGTTTGAAGAGTTATCTGGAGATAATGAAATATTTTTTTTATAAAACAAAGAGGTGCTACAAACGGGGTAGCACTCCCCCTCATCGTTCTAGCAAATAACATTGAGATCCCAAGGAGGATTATTCGTTCCCCAATTGACCTTGCCCGCTATTCCGTCAACCGCTTCTCTAAACACATGTTTATACTGTCACTCTATACCAATATTTCTATTCGACCAGGGTGGTTTAAGATTTTCCTTGAGGCAAGCAATGACAAGACAAGAATCACCTTTCATAATAACTTGATAATCTACTATGGGCCTTCCAATAGCTCAATAGGGGTGAGAAAAAAAACAAAAAAAATTGAATCGATCAAAAAAAAACCAAAACCGAACCAAAAAAATCGGTTAACCGAATTGGTCGGTTTAGTTTCAGTTTGGTGTTTTTAAAAATTCGACTGTATTAATTCGGTTTCGATTAGCTAATATAGAAAATCAGTGGTTAACCGAATTGGTCGGTATGCATAAATTTCTATATTTTTTATATATATTTTGTATTTTTTATATATTATAAATTAATAAATATGTGATGATGCTCGTTTTGGCAGCCCTCGGTTGGCTGGTGACTCTGATGCTAATTAGTGGTGTGCAATCCAATTGCTCTCTGGTCGTCTGGCTACTTCTTAGTGGCTGATGACTCAGAGGCCGAAGTGGAGGATTTCTGCCGGATGAAGACTTGGATGCCAAGCTGACTAAGCCGAGTTGGGGGTAGATCAGGTGTTGAGCTAGGTTGATTGCCGAGCAGGATTGCCTTTTCAAAGAGACCTGTAAGGAATCAACGTCAGAGGACCCAGGGTGGCTAACCCGGCGAGGTCACTCCGATGCTTAAGTTAATATTATATTTTGGTTGTGAGCTGAATACTTGAGTGCTAGAATGGTAGTGAGCAAATAATTGTGCGTACCTCTCTTTTTTCTTCTCCTCTGGGTCTTTGGGGTTAGTGCCTTTTATATAGGCATTGTTAGGTGTGGGCCTCATGCATCGCATCCGAGATTTCCGGGAGGATGTGCCTAACCAATCCGAAATCCTCGGAGGTAACCACCATGCACGTTGACCACCCTCTGAAACGTTCGGTACGTTGGCCAACTTCCAAGAAACATGGGAGTGTCAGGATATGCATGCCGAATTTGTTGGCAAGCACGTCTCGCAAGTCGCCACCTGGACCTTAGCCAGGCCGGCACGCCCTCAAGGAAGGTCGCTCCTAGCGTCGAGGTCACTTCAGCCAGTGACAAGGTGCTACAGGTCACCCCTGGACGAGGTGCTTCTAGCCGACCTGAGTTGTGGTCGAGATCGCCAGGTTGGCAGTGAAAGCAAGTCACCAGGTCGGGGCGAAGAGAAACCGCAATATGGGACTCCAAGTCACCAGGTCCACCTGTTCCAAGATGCCATGTGTCACGATATCATTGGAGGACCAAATCCGCCCTCATCAATTGCCCCCCACTCCCTTTTTGAGAGTAGCTCGGCGGAGGGAGTAGATTGCTCCTTTTGGCCCGAGATGACTAATTCGATCAGTTTGTAGTCGCAAGCGTTGGACTGATTTGCTTCTCAGGTCGGAAGAGTCCAAGTGTTTGTAGCCTTACACAGGACCTCGTCATCTTGATTATCGGGGCACGAGAGCAAACTCATTCGCTCGAGGAGAAGTGAAGCAAGTACCCCGAGGACATCTACCTTTTTAGGGATGGAACCGTTAGGGGGTTCTATAATCCGACCATTACATCAAGAGCGAAGTGCATCATGATGTCCTCAAGAAGGGGTTCTAACTGCGTGAGTGCTTTATTAGGTCGCTCCACCTATGTAGACTTCGATGCAGTGTCACTCGAACCGGTTCTCAAAAGAGTACCCAATGAGTTTGATGCGGAGCCTGAAACTGAAGTGAAGAGATCAGCCAAGTTTGCATATGTCATGGTGCTGAATGAATTAGTCTTTCCTTTGTCCTCTTTCTCGTGCTGAATGCGAACTGCTTTTTATTTTTCCCATGCAAAAGAGGTGACTGGGTCTTATGTGGTGCCGAGGTCTCTTATCAGCTCGGCACCTTAGCCCTTAGGCTCTGGGAGTGACTCGCGATCCACTCTCCTTATCCTTGATCTTGCCCATGCCTAAGAGGCGACCGGGTCTCATGTGGTGCCGAGGTCTTTTATCAACTCAACACCTTAGCCTTTAGGCTCTAGGATCGACTCATAGTCCACTCTCCATAATATTATTTAGCCGACGTGCAGCCTGACTAGTTCGCTTAAATGGGTGGTCATTCTGTTGTACCCTTATATGTGACTACTTCTACATCGTCACGTGAGATTTGGCTTCCTCGGGAAGGTGCTTGCAAGATCATGGCATACTGCTCCTGAAACCGTTGATTGTCTGTTTCTATTAGAGTCATGGGAGGCTCACCCTGAGGGGGCAGCTCTACTGTCTTCGGGTCGCCTACTCTCACGGGAACCATAAGGGGCTCGACCTATGAGGGCGGTTCCACTTTCAGCTCACTTCCAATTCTCACGGGGCCATAAAAGCTCGACCTGTAGCAAGGCTTCGCAGTTTGGGCTGGAGGTAGTCCGGGTCAGATTGATGAGTCTCGCCCGAGCAAGTTACTCATTTATATTCTGTTTGTAGGTTTTGTCATTACTTTTGATGTCAGATGATAAGTTGATGTCGCGGTTGCACTACATCAACCCTCAGAGATGCTGGTCGTCAACTCCTACGAGAAGCCATAGGGAGCTCGACCTGCAGGAGCAGCTCAACTAGTTGTAGGTTGCCAACTCGTACGGAAGCCTTGAAAGGCTTGACCGACAAGGGCATCCACACAGTCCGTAGGCCGCTAACTCCCGCGGGAGCAGCAAAGGGTTCAACCTGTAGGGGAGACCTTGCGAAGAAGGCTAACGAGGCTCATTCGGGCTGAATGGGGTCGGCATAACAGCTTAGTCGGTTGGCAATCAACTCCCGCGGGAACCACAAGGGGCTCAATCTGCGGGGGCGGCTCTACTCCGAGGTGCCTGTCACCGGGCTGCTGGTTGTTAAGGTCATTTTACTATCGATTGCTCAAATGCACCAAGCTTCTTGATTGTCATGGAGGAGGGTTCTCATGTTCTTGCCCCCCCAGTAATTGATTCTTTGTTCTCGATGTTGGTGCTGCTTAAAAATGCCTTTGAGTTAATAAAAAATGGAAATTAGAGAGTGAGAACTTAAATTTTTAAAAGGTGAGATCTTAGCTTTTTGGAAGGAAAGGACTTAGCCTTTTAGAAGGTGAGGACTTGGCTTCTTGTAGCGTATTCCCACAAACAGCGCCAATTGATGATGCACGTTTTGGCAGCCCCCGGCGGGTTGGTGACTCGGATGCTGATTAGTGGTGTGCAATCCAACGACTCCGTGGTCGTCTGGTTACTTCCCAGTGGCTAATGACTCAAAGGTCGAAGTAGAGGATTTTTACTGGATGAAGACTTGGATGCCGAGCTGACTAGGACGAGTTGGGGGGTAGATCAGGTGCTGAGCTAGGTTGATTGCTAAGCCGAGTTGCCTTTCTAGAGAGACTTGCAAGGAATCAGCGTCAGAGGACCTGGGGTGGCTAACCCAGTGAGGTCACTCCGGTGCTTAAGTTAGTATCATACTCTGGTTGTGAGCTGAATAGTTGAGTGCTTGAATGCTAGTGAGCATTATTGCACGTACCTCTCTTTTTCCTTCTCCTCTGGGTCTTTGGGGTTGGTGCCTTTATATAAGCATTGTTCGGTGTGGGCTTCACGCACCGCATTCGAGATTTTCGGGAGGTCGTGCCTAACCGGTTTGAAATCCTCAGAGGTAACCACCATGCACATTGACCACCCTCCGGAACGTTCGGTACGTGGGCCAACTTTCAAGAAATGTGGGAGTATCGGAATATGCATGCCGAATTTGTCGGCGAGTACGTCTCGCATGTCGCCGCCTGGACCTCAGTCAGGTCGGCGCGCCCTCAAGGGAGGTCGCTCCTCGCGTCGAGGTCACTTCGGCTAGTGACGAGGTGCTACTAACTGACCTGAGTTATGGTTGAGATTGCCAGGTTGGCGGTGAAGGCAGGTCGCCAGGTCAAGGCGAAGAGAAACCGCGATCTGGGACTCTAAGTCATTGCTTAGGTGGTGTCTAGGTGTCATCCAACTGTTCCAAGATCCCATGTGTCACGATATCATTGGAGGGCCAAACCCACCCTCATCAATATGCATTATATATATAAATATATATTTAAAATATATGATATATTATTTATTATTTAAAATATAATATTTAATATATATATTTATAATTTTTTATTATATATTTATATATTTTTTACAATATATTGTGAAAATTAAAAACTAAAAAACCGATGAATCAAACTGATGGTTAACCTAATCGGTCAACCAGTTAACCAACTAGCTTCGGTTCAGTTTCAATTACCAGCTTTCCAAAAACCGGTAGTACCGGTTCGGTTCAAAAAAGTCCCACAGTTAACCAAACCGTGAGCACCCCTAAGGAAAAGCCTCCGCAGCATTGATTGAAGAGATGCTAATGCTGTACCCCTAGTAGTCCAACATTCTACCAAGGTGTCTCACCACCGCCGCAATAGAGCATCTACCATCACTCGACCGAGACGCATCAAAGTTGATTTTGGTCGTGCTATGGTTCAGCAGGCGCTAATAAACATCCACCCATTTCTTCTCTATTCTTGAGGTACTTGAACTCTACAAAAAAGAAACAT